AAAAAAAAAAAAAAAAAAAAATAAAGAGTGGAAGTTTGAACTTCCCTGAAGGTTCAATGGTTAAGACCCTGCATTTCCACTGCCGGGGTGGGTGGGAGGGGCATGGATGTGGTCCCTGGTCAGGGAACTAAGGTCTCACAGGCCAAAGAGTGTGACCAAAAACAAACAAAACACTGAGAGTGAAGAGCTGACAGTTTTTAAATTTTTAGAAGAGTACCTGGCATGTAGCAAGCATCATAGAAGCACTTCTTAAATAAATCTAAACTCCCCTTCCTTGTGGGAGAAGCCTCGGTCCCCTGGTCCTCTCTCCATTCCACACACAGACTTTCTGCACTTTCTCACCACTTACACTGTCTCTTATTTTGCAGAACCGCCTCTTTGCAGAAAAACAACCAATTTACTTTCCATTCTGCTGCCTGAGACAACCATATCCTCCTCTTACGCACACCCCAGGCTCCCATGGAGAGCTCAGGTCAGTATGGCTGGGGGTAGAGGTGTCTGCAGGGTGGGGGAGGCCCCTTTTGAAGGTGAGAATGCCCCCAAGGCTGGCAGGGCCACCTCCACCCAGCCCGGCTGGGAGATCCCCACTCAGCTGCCCAAATGCGACAACATTGTTGAGACATGGACATCCATGCACTTGTACAAGTTCCAGCTGCTGGCAGACCACTGAGCTGGACGTTGGGAGTAATGATAGTAAAAGCCAGTATGTATTGCCAAATACTTGCATTTATTTAACAAAAATCTCCATGGCACTTACAATAAATCAAGTAGTAGAAAAAGCACCTGACAAATATTAACTTGTTGAGTCTTCACAAAGATCCCACAAGACAGATAGCATTATTGCCTTCAATTTACAGAATAGGAAAGTGAGAGAGAACATGTAGATAGTATGTGGTCCAATCAGGATTTGAGATGGCGGCATCACTGACTCAATGAACATGAGTTTGAGCAAACTCTGGGAGATAGTAAAGGACAGGAAAGCCTTGTGTGCTGCAGTCCATGGAGCTGCAAGGAGTCAGACATGACTTAGCAACTAAACAACAACAGCAATCAGGATTCGAACCCAGCAATCTAGCTCCAGCATCCAGGCTGTGAATGACTTCACTGTGGGCTGCCTCATGCAAACGTCAGAAGGATTCTGCGAAGTAGGGATATCAGTACAATTGTCCTCATCTTACTGAAAGAGAAACAGGCTCAGAGAGGTTGGCTAATTTGCCGGAAGCTACACAGCTGGTTGGTGGCAGAGCCAGGATTAGAACCTAGGCCTGGCTGATTCCGAGACCCAGACTCTTCTCCCTGCACCATCCTGGGATAACAAGCAGAGATGACCCTACCTCCAAGATGTATATCAACTAATGTTCATCCAGCAAGTAAGAAACCACTCCTCCCTCCACCAGGCATAGACTCTAATGTCATTGAAGACCCCTGTCTCGGAGAATGGTAGGGGACACCCCGAGGCAGGCATAGCTACCAGTTTGTTATCACTCCTAAGACAAGCATCCTTTCCACACCCGGCTTACCCTCAAAGAGCTTCATCCAATCAGAAGACGCTTCAAACAATGACTCCTCCAATGAGAAGATGCTTCAACCAGTGAATCCCCCAATGAGATGAAACTTCAACCAGTGAATCACCCAATGAGATGAAACTTCAACCAGTGAATCCCCCAATGAGAAGAAACTTCAACCAGTGAATCCCCCAATGAGATGAAACTTCAACCAGTGAACCCCCCCAATGAGATGAAACTTCAACCAGTGAACCCCTCCCCCAATGAGATGAAACTTCAACCAGTGAATCCCCCAATAAGAAGAAACTTCAACCAGTGAATCGCCCAATGAGAAGAAGCCTCACCAGTGAATCTTGATGTCTCAGTATTCCTGGTTGTTTTTAACCAGCTGGGGTTTGGGCTGGGAGGATAGGGTAGGGGAGCACTGTGAAAGTCTCCTAAATATTTCAGAATCATCTTACTTTGCACTCACTTGAATTACAGTTAAGACCCACTGTGCTGTGTTTTAGGAAGAGAGGTGTACCGATAAACTTCCTTTGGATATGAGCAATAGAAACCCATATGGTTCATTTAATTTTCAAAAATATAGCGGAGCATGGAAGGAACGACTGAAGCACCAGGCAGCAGAAAAGACAAGGAACAGAGTGGATCTGCCACCAGGATAGGAAAAGGGAGGTTTTCTCCACTCCAGTCCATCATCCACACCAGGCTCACCCAGAGGGCGAGAGCCTGTTGGCCAGCTTGGATCTGTGCCACTCCAAGGCCAGTCTCACTGCGATTACAGTGAGTAAAGAAGGCTGCTAGGCAGACAGGACCACCAGCATCCACTCTCAAAGATGTGACAGATGGCCCCCACCCTCCCAAAGTTCGATGGGTGAGAGAAACTTCCCCAAATCAGGATGCTTGTCTGGGAGCGCGGAAAGGGAGTTTTCTCATCATGACCAGGACTACAGTTGTCCTGGCTGGCTTCCCAAATTACAGTTGTTTTTTATATTGCCCCACCTTCCTACAGTCCTCAGAGTCCTCTCATCCTAGGGTCAAGAAGAGGGGCTCTGGAAAAGGAAGATGTCTATTTTGAGGGCAAAAGAGCAGTGTTCCAAGGGCACTAAAGGTATTGCTGTTTTGTCATTCCTGCAAACAGGGGCAAGATTGCAAACCTTTTTAGAACCATCTGAGCCTTTATTCCACATGCAGGGAAGGTGGAGTTCAGGCACAGGATGGAAGAGGCGCATAAACTGTATTACTCCAGTCAATGGAGTGTCTGGGTGCTGAGTACATAAATGTCAGTGAACAACTGAGGGGCTTCCCTGTGGTCCAGTGGTTAAGATTCCATGCTTCCACTGCAGGGGGTGCAGCTCTGATCCCTGGCCATCCTGACCCTGGGAGATTTGTTCTGTGTTGCATCATGTGGGATCTTTCCTTGAGGCCTGCAAGCTCTGGATCTTGTGTGCTCAGTCGTCCCACAGCATGTGGGTTCTTAGTTCCCTGACCAGGGATGAAACCCAGCTCCCTTGCATTGCAAGGTGGATTCTTAATCGCTGGACCACCAGGGAGGTCGCGACCTTCATCCTTAATTCAGGGATGATTGTCCTCTGTGAACTCTGAGCACCTTGTCGTTTCACTCCTTCCCTTACAGATCAGTTATCAGATCTCCGGACTAAGACAGTAATTCTCATTAGAATTAGGTGAATTCTGTAATCCTGCACATCAGAGTCTCCCGGGGAGCTATTTTTAAAAAATTGATTATTCGTCCCCACCCTCAGATATCTGATTGTTTTTGGCTTGGGGTCGGCTGTGCATTGGTAGTTTTGAAAGTTCTCCAGGTACTTCTGATGTGCAGCCAAGGTTGGGAACTAGGGGAAAAGACAACACCCAAGAGTAGCTTGGGGAGAGATTGGATTGTCTAGGATCGCAGGGCAACAGAGAGCTGGCACTGCTGTCCTCGGTCAGCTCTGAATGGCCGGAAATTGAGGAGCAGACCCCAGACTAGGGGGTCCCGCCACGGTCAGGACCTATCAGCTTTTCTTGTCCTTTCCTTCCTCCCTATTGTCTAGCTGTGATAACATCTACGCTGGTGGGAGAGCTGGGAACCGGTGTGTATGCGTGTGTGTGGTTTGTCTCTCCACTTTCTTTTCTATTTATTTAACTTTTTAATTTTTTGGCCATGCTGCATGGTACTCGGGATCTTAGGTCCCCAACCAAGGGTCAAACCCAAGGGTCGACCAAGGGTCAGGCTCCCTGCAGTGGAAGCTTGGATTCTTAACCACTGGACCACCGGGGAGATTCCATGGGAAATTTTTTTCAGGCAACTTCATCAGGGGCATTTATTTGTGCATTCAAACCCCAGGCACACAAAAGTAGACACATGCCCACAGTCTCACCTGGGTACACCCTCTTCTCTTTCCCCAGTGAAGAGGTGAATGGTCACACGTAAGATGACAGCTTTAAAGGAAGATTGGCAAAACAGAAAGCTCTGCTCTAGCTGCTCTGTGACCTTGCAAAAATTGCCTCTCCCCTCTGAGCCTCATTTCCTCATCTGTGAAATGGGAAGCGAGTCAGCTCCAGGGCCCCTCTGGGTCTGACCTTCTGCAGTTGGGGAGGTGACGGGGGCAAGGGTCAGGTCTGTCCCTCAAGATTGCTCAAAACAGGGAGATCAGTATTTGTTCTGTCAAACTCACAGGTCTCTGCCCAGAACCCAATGAGACAACACACCAGAGAACACTTTGTATGTTCCTGAGTCAGAGAACAGTAGCTACTATAACAAATGACCCCAGTGTCCGTGGATCAACACAACAAATGCTTATTTCTCACTCATGTGGCTCCTCAATACGGGTTACAGTCTTTCAGGGACTGAGATTTCTTTCCTCTTAGGGACCATCACCATTTCTTCCAAGCTCATGGAGGACAGGACAGAGGGTTTTATGGCCACACCTGAAAATGCCACATACCACGTGCACCACATGCCATTGGCCAGAACTGGCATGGCCAGTCACATGGCCCCCACCGAGCCACCACAAGAGAGTCTGAGAAGTGTAGTCTTCTCATCTAGCCGTGACAAAAATCAAATTGGTTTAACATGTACCATTGTCTTGCTACACCTACACAAGACTTTCTACGTGTCTACCTTTCAAGTGCTATTTAAATGTTAGATATGAATAGTAATCTGGATACCTGATAGTTATCTCCTACTCCTGAGTGGAGGGGAGGATAAGGAATGCTGTTTATTTAGTGGCTGTCCTGGATCAAGAATGATGTCAGAGGGAGTCCCATGGTGGTCCAGTGGTTAAGACTCTGTGCTTCCAACGCAGAAATGCAGGGGGCATGGGTTCAATCCCTGATTGGGGGACCAAGATCCCTTTTACTGTGTGGTAGGGCCAAAAAAAGAGAAGGAAGAATGATGACCCTGAGATATTTGAGACATGAGAAATACTTTCGTGGGCTTAATCAAATCCAGTCCAGCTTCCAGCTCTAGTTTTCCGAGGTCAGGACAGATTCCTGTTTCATTCACTTGGGGCACCACCCCCAGCTCTTTGGGATCCTGTGAGAAGCCCAGAGGTCACAAAATCTGGATGATGGAAACATCTGTGGGTCTTCAGTCCGTGGTGGCTGCAGCCCCCAGAACAGTCTGGTCAGGCTTGCATGGTCCATGAGGAGACAAGGGGCTCCTCTGGGGACTTCCCTGCACCCTGGCCAAGGTGGCCCAGGAGACCACACCAGTGGCTCTCAGATGCACAGAGTTTAGTGCTTAGCTCCACCCATCTGAGATCTCTGCCACCACCCATCAGCCTTGTCCCAGCCAGCCCTGGTCCTCCTCCTTCCTGGGGTCCCCATAACCCTCGTGCCCTCACAGTCTCGGAGAATCTGACCTCCTACCCTCAGATTACCACTTTCTCTCTCTCTCTTTTTTTAATTGGAGAATAATTGCTTTACAGTGATGTGTTAGCTTCTTCTGTACAGCATGAATCAGATGCAAGTATACATAACATACCCCTTGCTCTTAAGTCTCCCTCCCACCGCCCCTGCCCCATCCCACCCCTCTAGGTCATCACAGAGTACCAAGTCGAGCTCCCTGTGTTATACAGTAGATTCTCACTAGCTATGTGTTTTTAAACATGGTAGTGTATAATTCAAAACAACACATGTACCCCAGTTTTCACGGCAGCACTATTTACGATAGCCAGGACAGGGAAGCAATCTAGACATCCATCAACAGATTAATGGATACAACAATTGTGGTACATATATACAGTAGAATATTACTCAGCCATTAAAAGGAATGAAATTGGGTTGTTTGTAGTGATGTGGATGATCCTAGTAAACTCTGTCATATGGAGTGAAGTAAGTCAGAAAGAGAAAAACAAGTATCATATATTAACACACATATATGGAAGCTAGAAGAAGTACTGATGAGCCTATTGGCAGGGCGGGAATAGAGACATAAAAGTAGAGAATGGACTGTGGACCCAGTGGGGGAAGGAGAGGATGGATCGAATTGAGAGAGTAGCATTGACATCTACACGCGAGTCTTCTCTTTAACAAAAAGCAGTAGCCTTCAACCCATCCCTCTGAGACAATCCAGCTTGATTGTCTCAGTCAGATAGCCAGGGGTCTCAAGGTCAAGCGGCCGAGGAAAGGATGTAAGTAAAGGAAACAAGGAGAGTCACCACTCTGAAGCCCTGAAGGAGCCATGCCCCATCTCAGGAGGGCAGCTGCTCCCCAGCCCCTGTCATTGGCACCTGGGAAAAGAATGCATGCCCAGTGTTGACAGCCTTTCCAGAGATGCCAGGAATTTGAACTTTTATGCAAAATCTCCTCATTTGTGAATGTTGGCAGCTAGTTCCATTTTTTTCCCCCAAAGACACTCTGCAAGCCCAAACAAGACATGTCTGCAAACCAGATGTGGACCAAAGCCTGAGTTTGTTCCGGCTGCCCAGACTTTCGAAAACAGGGTTTATTTAGGGGTTTTCTCCCCAGGCTACTGGCAGAGTTTGTTTTTTTTTTTAAACTTCTCTATTTTTCTCTGAAACATAAAAACATAACTCCCTGTGCAAAACAGCAGGGGAACCTAGGGCTCCAAAGACAAAGGTTTGGCTACCCTTTTTAATGAGTGAGGAAAACACAGTTATTAATATCACAGTTTTAATTCTCTTGTGTGGTCTATGTTGGGGTGGCGGGGAGAAGGAAGAAAAAAGAAATAGAACGTAGCATATTTTTTAAATAACACACCCTGTACTCAGTCACTTCAGTCATGTCTGACTCTTTGGGACCCCCGCGCCTCCTCCGTGGACTGTAGCCCACCAGGCTCCATGGAATTTCCCAGGCAAGAATACTGGAGTGGATTGCCATTGCCTTCTCCAGAGGATCTTCCCAACCCAGGGATCAAACCACGGTCTCTTGCATTGCAGGCAGATTCTTTACCACTGAGCCACCATGGGAAGCTTAACTCATCCTGCATGAACTCATTCATCTTCATGCCAGGTGGAACTAGGTAGATGGAAAGATGGCTTGGGACGAGCCTTCTTGCCAGGTGAAATAATTTCCTTGCCAGTTTGGGGAGAGGCTGCACTGCCCAGCAGGGTGGCCGGGTGGGCTAATGTGGACTGGGACACCTGCCCACTTCCTGCTCAGAGCCCAAAGGAGACTCAGGCCTGGACCTGCCCTGGGCAGGGGGCAAGTGAGAGGCCAGAGGAAAGTCAGAGTATCAGAGATGCTTGGCAGCCCCAGCCTTGCAAGGGTCCCTGCCAGAGTCATGGAAGAGTGGGTCCATGACCATGAGAGCATCGAGTGCCTTGACCTAAACAAACTCTGACTCCTGGGCAGCAACCTTCTGGTTTTTTAGATCTGTCCTCTCTATTTACCCTGGTGGCTCAGATGGCAGAGTCCACCATCAGTGCGGGAGACCTGGGTTTGATCCCTCGGTCAGGAAGATGCCCTGAAGCAGGGCATGGCTACCCACTCCAGTACGCTTGCCTGGAGAATTTCACAGACAGAGGAGCCTGGTGGGCTTCATACAGTCCATGAGGTCTCCAAGAATCGGACACAACTGAGCACCTAACACTTTGACTTTCACACCATCGTCCTACCTACTTCCAAAGGAAACTAAGGAGATTAAAATAAATGTTTGTAAAGCAGGAGCACCCCAAAAGGAGCAAAGGAACGAACTCTCCATCTCTTGAGATGAGCAGGTTTTTGAGGCAGGGCCTCCACGTGGCTGTTAGTTTCCTGACAGCTCAGGCAAAAGCGGAACCTGTGGGGCGTGTGGTTTGTACTGACAACCAGAGACTGCACCCCTGTCTGTAGAGACAGCCCCTCGGTTGGAGCTGATTATGAAGGGGAATTGATGGCACAGGGAGTGTCTGCCATACTTCCTGTGTTGGTCCCGGTCCTCTAAGAAGCAGACAGGGGAGACAAGATTGGACATGCCAGGCTTCATGTGGGGAAACGCCTGTGGGACAGAAAATGGACAGGGAGCCGGTGAGGGCTGGAGGAGCGAGTGCTCAGACTGTGCGGCAAGCCCAACTCTGAAAGAAGGAGAAAGGGAGGAAGGGCTGGGTGGAAATGTGCTAGACCGACCACAGGCTGGGGAACCCCTGAGTCAGAGTCAACCGTCCACAAAGCTTCCTGAGGACGAGCTGGCTTTAGAAGCCCTGCTGCTCTCCGTATTGGCTGGAAAGTGATGGATTTCACAGCCCGACAGCCCCAAGCTCCTGGATCCCTTAAACTCCTTGTAGTGGGAGAGGAGTTAGGTGCATTTTCGCAGCTACCATGTTTCCAAAGGTCAGTTACCATCTCCAGAGTTTTGCTATGTCAGCACACTGCTGTTAAAGGAAACAAAAATTATCTTGACACTTGTTAAAATCCTAACGGGGGCTTCCCTGGTGGCTCAGTGGTAAAGAATCCACCTGCCAGTGCAGGAGACTGGGGTTCGATTCCTGCTCCGGGAAGATCCCACATGCCAAGGAGCAACCATGCTCAAGCATCACAACTACTCAGCCTGCGCTCTGGAGCCCCTGAGTCCGCAGCTTCTGAGTCTGCACGCCGCAAGTACTGAAGCCGCACACCCTAGAGCCCGTGCTCTGCAACCAGAGAGTAGTTCCCTGGTCGCCACAACCGGAGAAAAGCCCACAGCAACAACGAAGGCCCAACACAGCCAAAAATAAATAAATAAATAAAATTATAATGTATTTTTAAAAAAACCCTAAGGAAGACTTTATTCAAGATGGTTGCAGTAGAAGAGGGGGATGAGGCTCAGCTCTGAATAAGGCAAAGATGGAAGGGGATTTGCAGTCAACACAGAGGGAGGGGTCGGTGGGTGGCAAACTACTAAGAAGGGACCTGAGGGCTGGGGGATTCTCAATAAAAGGTCCTAACAGGACTCTTGCTGGAGGCAGGTTGAGGAGTTACCCATCAAAGGTGGGGAATAGAGAACTTGATCATTGAGCCGGGGATCCTCGAATGACTGGCAGCAGGATGCTAAAACTGGGCTGGGAGACCAGGGACAGGACAGGGGCTGTGCTAAGAGCGTAGCGGAGAACAAGGCTTCGAGGATCCCGAGTTTGGTGGGAGAGAGTCTTTGTCACCTCCTGCCATTTATCTCATGTGTTTCTTTAAGTTGACTTTAAATTTTAGCTTCTTCATACTAGTTGAGGAACTAGTTACATAATTTTTCTATATATTAAAATCAGTGCAGAATTACTCAGATTTGGGGATCACCTGTGTACCACTGAAAAGTGTCTTATGGGACTTCCCTGGCAGTCCAGTGGTTAGGGCTCTACACTTCCACTGCAGGGGACAAGGATTTGATCCCTGGTAAGGGAACTAAGATCCCGCATGCCTCGGGGTGCAACCAAAAGGAAACAAATGGGATTGTCCCACATATCTCTGGCAGTAAATATACCTCACCCTGAGATACTCTGATTGTACAAAGAACATAGACATGCCAATCAAAAGGCTATTTTCCAGCCCTGGCCAGGATGCAGGCTGCCAGCTCTAAGTTGATTGCTTCTGGGCTCCTTTTGAGGCTCGAAGAAGAGGCTAAAGACATTCTCAGGGAAAGAGGAGGTGGGGAGGGTAAGGCTACTGGCTCACCCTCTCAGAGACCATGGCAGAGCCCATCTGGGGTCTGCCATCCTCTTTCTTAACCACCTTCTCCAACTCCCCTTGCAAATAAGATTCCCCTGGCACTCCAGGCCTGCACGACTCCCCGGCATGTGGCTGAGCTCCAGAAGCCACGTGCACACACCTGTCCCCACTAGCACCCCACCTCTGTCCTTTCTGCCCTGGGAATTCACCGCCCACTGGGGTGAAGATCAGAGCTCCCCCACGTGTGAGAAGCCCACCCACGGGCTCAGAGCCCAGCACCCAAGGCGGTGCGGGGCAGGGTCAGACCTCGAGCTCTGGGGCTCCAGGTCTCAGGGTCCTGCTCAGCACCATGCCCACCCTCTCCTGGCCCAGGCATGTGGAGGTGGTCCCTGCACAAGAAGGTTGAGCGGGATCCTGGGAAGAGCCCGGCGCTGGTCCGCATCCTGCTCAGAGAGCTGGAGAAGGTGGGTTCTCACTCAGAGAGTTGGGGAAGGTGGGTTCTTACTCAGAGAGAGGGTGGGTTCTCGCTCAGAGAGCTGGAGAAGGTAGGTTTTCGGGCTCCTGGGAGGGGATGAGAGGAAGAAGGGCCATGTCTGCCCATCAGCTCCACATTCCCCGCACTCCGGTCTTTTGGTTTCTACCATATTTCTCCCTCTCCCGTACTTTCCCGTGGGCAATAGTGGCTGCACATTGATTCCCTCTGTTTGACCTGAGTTAACGTCTTCCAGAAAGAATCACCATAGAACACCACCATAAATGGAAAACCCATGTCACTCGACAGAAACAAAAAGCTCCTATAAACATAAATGCATAACTACTAAGAACTGTCAAAGTTATAATCATCCTTCTCACCACCCAGTGCTCTACCTCTGGGAAACGCTGCGTTCAAGGGGGCCTCCAGGTTGGGGCTCGCCTGTCCTTTGCTGCCAGCGGCTGCCCCTCCCCCATGGAGGGCCCTCTGCCCCTCCCCCCACACCTGGGCTCCCTCCCCACCCCCACTGCTCTCCTGCCAGGGCAGGCTCCGGCCCCTTTCCTACACCCCTTGGCCTGGTGGGACACTGCCTTCCACCCCCTCTCCCACGGGGACGAGGCGAGTCCCCCATAACCTCCGGCCCCCTCCACGCCCTGCTCTCTCTCCTGTCTTCCAGGCAGAAAGTGAGGATGCCCGCCACATCATCATTCCCTTGCTGCACACTCTAATGTACGTGCTCACTAAGGTGAGCCGGGGCTGAGGGTCTGGGTGGTCGTGGTGACCCGCAAGTGACTGGGCTAGACACCCAGGAGATACCAGGTCTCTGCCTGGCAAGCCTGGAAGAACTCTAGTTCCTCCCTTAGCCCTGTCCTTGCCCTGAGACACAAAGAGATGAAACTGGGGAGGTGGGGGGCAGGGGGTAAAGGTGCATCCCCAACAGAGCAGAAAGGTTGGGAGGAGAGTTGATTTGCTGGAGGAACAGGATGGGGATGAATTTCCATCTTGATAAATGTGAATGAAATGTCTTGCATGCGTGCATACTAAGTTGCTTCAGTCGTGTCCGATTCTTTGCAACCCCATGGACTGTAGCCCACCAGGCTCCTCTGGTCTATGGGATTCTCCAGGCAAGAACACCTGCGTGGATTGTCATGCCCTCCTCCAGGGGATCGTCCCAACCCAAGGACTGAACCCATGTCTTTTACAGCTCCTGCATTGGCAGGTGGATTCTTTATCACTAGTGCCACCTGGGAAAGCTGAATGGGGTGTCAAGAGGGGAGGAGTCTTAGAGATGATGGGAGAAGAAGCTAAAGGTGTAGACTTGGGAGGGAAGTGTGAGCCCAGGTCTGGCTCTTCTCCCATCCCATCAGCCCACCCCAGCCAGGGCCCTTTGTGACCCAGGGCTCTGGCCACCCTGACCCCTCCCTCTCACCCAGGCCACGGGCATCACAGAGGAGCTCCACCGGAGAACCTACGCTTTTTGCAAGAGGTTGCTGACCCTGCCCGCCCCCTACTGCACGATCGCCCTGGACTGCGCCATCAGGCTGAAAACGGAGACGGCTGTCCCAGGTGAGAGCACTCCCAGCTCCACCTGAGATCTCGCCTTCCTCTCAGGATTCCAGGCAGCTCGAAAGCTCCAGCAGCTTCTGGGAAAGTGGGGAGCAGGGGCCAGAGACTCGGGGACTGGTTGGCTGAAGCAGTTGCTCTGCAGGGACGCTGTACCAGAGGCTGGTCATTGCCGAGCAGAACCTGACGAGCGAGCTGTACCCCTACCGGGAGAGGTGAGTGGCCCCAGCCAGCATGCTGCCGCCGGGAGGACGAGACGAGCCAGGAGGCTGGACGGAGAGGAGCCCCAGCAGAGCTTCTCATTTGTCCAGCCGTGGGGGACGTCCTCTGGGGGGAAGGGGCGTCCTCCAGGGGGAATGGGGTGTGTCCTTCCCTGGAGGTCCCGGAGAGCAGTCAGGTCTTTCTTCTTGGGCTGGATTCAGAGCTTCCCCGCTCACATGCGGAACGTGGATGGAGCCCTGGGCCACGCTCCGTCTCTGTGGCTCAGCCTCCAGCCTGCCCGTGGCTGTGATGTAGCATCAGGCAGCCGGAGGTGGCTCCAGAATTTCAGTAGTTTGGGCCACAATCACACCGTGAGGTCTGGGCTGTGTGTGTAGCCCCTTTTAATAAGATTGAGGACACGTCTGTTGCTCGTGCTGGAGAGAGGAGCGGATGGGGTTGGGGGTGGGGCAGGGGGTGCAGAGTCTCCTCCCTGCAGGTACCTCTGCTGACCTGGTGCTGTCAAGGGCAGCCTGAGGCTCAGTGTTCATGGAGGTGTGGGGAGTGGAAGGGACCCAGAGGACCTGGCATCAGAGAGCCTGGGTGACAGTTGGGTATGGAGGAGAGAGCGGGAGGATTGAGTACGGAGGAAAGGGTGGGTGAGGCTGGTTTTCTGGTGTGATGAAGGTGATGAGCGATGGGGCTCACTTAGGGTTCAGAGCTCCAGTTGCGGTGAGAAGGATATAGGGTCCCTCCTGGAGGATATCGGGGTCACTGGGGCATGACACTGAGACGGAGAGCAACATTTCAGTTGGAATTTCCCTAGAGAGGAGACTAGAGGTCCCCAGAGGGACCAGGCGCCCCCCCCACCCCACCAAAGGACTGTGCCTGCTCTTCTTTGCCACAGTCCCCACCACTACCTAGTGTTATCCCCTCACAGACCTTTGAACTCGAAGCTCCTGTTATTGGAGGAAGTAAATAACTTGGGGGGGTGGTCTGCAAGGCTCTGAGGGTGCCCCTCCAGTGGCCCTCCTCCCCATGGTCATCCTTATCAGCCCCCGGTCCCCCCACCTCTGCCCTCAGAGTGTTCCTCTTCGTGGATCCTGAGCTGGTGTCTCCCTCCGTGTGCAGTGCCCTGCTGCTGGAGATCGAGGCGGCCCAAGGGCAGCAGACGCCGGAGGCCTGCATGCGCCACGTGGTCTCCCATGCCCTTCAGGCGGCGCTGGGGGAGGCCTGCCATGCAGGCGCACTGCAGAAGAAGCTGCTGGTAAGATCACTGCCCTGCTCACCCACATCCGTTCTCCTCTGTCCCGACCACCTTTCCCCCCTTAAGCCAAAATAAATACACATTCACTAAGGAAAATTTGGGGGGAAAATGCAGATGAGCCAAGAAAGAAAATAGAAATCACTCATACCCCTCTACTCAGTCATGTTAGCAATTAACATTTGGTATATTTCATGAATAATAACAATGGTGGCCATCATAAAAAACATGGTTTTTGTTTTCAAAAAATATTTTATTCATTTGGCTGCATCAGGTCTCAGTTGCAGCACACAGGATCTTTTAGTCAGGGCATGTGGGATCTAGTTCCCTGCCCAGGGATGGAACCCAGGCCCCCTGCTTTGGGAGCAAAAGAGTCTTAGCCACTGGCCCACCAAAGGAATCTCAGAACCAGTTTTTTGAACATCTCTTGGGTTCTAGGTACCATGTTAGACATTTTACATGTATCACCTTAAAATACCACAGACATTGTGAAGTGGATGTACTTATCAAAACAAAGGTGCAGAGAAGCCAATCGCCTACCTGCAATGACACAGATAAGAAGTGGCTATGCCTGAATGTGAACCCAGGTCTATCTGACTTCAAGCCTGTGTTTGGCTGCCTTCCAGCCCCACCCCTCCCCCATCCTTTTAACACTGAAATATGCCATATGGAAATATTTTCCTTGGAAAGCTATGCTTCTAACGGGGAAGAGAATTCTCTCTCTTGAACATGCTGTCATTCCTTTAACTAGTTTAACTAGTCCCTTGTTCCTCTTGTGGGCATTTAGTTTGTTTCCTAGCTTTCCTTTCTGACTCCGCCTCTCTGATAGCTCAGTTGGTAAAGAATCCTCCTACAATGCAGGAGACCCCAGTTCAATTCCTGGGTCAGGAAGATCCACTGGAGAAGGGCAAAGGCTACCCACTGCAATATTCTTGGGCTTCCCTTGTGGCTCAGTTGGTAAAGAATCCACCTGTAATGGGGAAGACCTGGGTTCAATCCCTGGGTTGGGAAGATCTGCTGGAGAAGGAAAAGGCTACCCACTCCAGTATTCTGACCTGGAGAATTCCATGGGATCCCAAAGAGTCAGACATGACTGAGCCACTTTCACTTTTCATTAGCTTTTCTCTCTGACTCAGCCTCAGCCCCTATCCACAGCCAAGACCACAGCCTGTAGAGAGGTTCTCTGGCCAGGGTGGCCCCAGGTGCTGGATTTCGTGGGCAGGGGAGGATGCCAGAAGGGCCAGTCAGAGTCTGCATGGGCTGGGGCAAGGTGCCAGCCCTGGGGAAGGTGGGTTGGCGGGTGTCTCTGAGGTGCAGCGCTGCCACTGCAGGAGAGGTCGACTCCAGAAGAGGGGTTACCCTCGAGGGGTCCATGATACACTGCTTGTCCTGCGCAGGAAGTGGGTGTTCTTTCTTTGCCCATCAAAAGACACTGGAGGCATTACTCTTCCTCCTCTTGTGTTCCATCTGGGATTCTCCGTATCCTGAGCCCTACATCTTGGATCCTTCCTTTGATGGATGTCTTTTGTGTACCACTGTTCAGTTCAGTCGCTTAGTCATGTCTGACTCTTTGCAAACCCATGGACTGCAGCATGCCAGGCTTCCCTGTCCATCACCAACTTCGGGAGCTTGCTCAAACTCATGTCCATCGAGTTGGTGATACCATCCAATCATCTCATCCTCTGTCATCCCCTTCTCCTCCTGCCTTCATTCTTTCCCAGTATCAGGGTCTTTTCCAAGGAGTCAGTTCTTCACATCAGGTGGCCAAAGTATTGGAGCTTCAGCTTCAACATCAGTCCTTCCAATGAATAATCAGTGTCGATTTGCTTCAGGATTGACTGGTTTGATCTCCTTGCAGTCCAAGGGACTCCCAAGAGTATTTTCCAACACCATAGTTCAAAAGTATCCATTCTTCAGCACTCAGCTTTCTTTATGGTTCAACTCTCATGTCCATCCATGATTACTGGAAAAACCATAGCTTTGACTAGACAGACCTTTATTGGTAAAGTAATGTCTTTGCTTCTTAGTATGCTGTCTAGGTCAGTCATAGCTTTTCTTCCAAGGAGCAAGCATCTNGGGATTGGAATGAAAACTGACCTTTTCCAGTCCTGTGGCCACTGCTGAGTTTTCCAAATTTGCTGGCATATTGAGTGCAGCACTTTAACAGCATCATCTTTTGGGATTTGAAATAAACCTTAAACTGTGTCAGTTGTTTTCTGTCATACCTTTTCCCTAAAAGCACTATCCACACCATTCCTTTGTGGTTGCCCACCTGCTTGGACCCACTGAGAGTTCTTGACTCACGCCTCCTACCTCACCATCCTGGACATCTCTCTTTCCATAACAGTCCTTTTGGGGGTTCACTGTACACAGACACATGACGGAGGAATGTCCCCCCAACTTATACCGCAGCCCCAGGCTGGTTTTATTTATTTATTTAGCTGTGCTTGATTTTAGCTGTGGCATGTGGGATCTACTTCCCTGACCAGAGATTGAACCCGGACCGCCTGCATTGGGAGCGGGGAGTCTTAGCCACTAGACCACCAGGAAAGTCTTCCCAGGCTGGTTTTAGCACAAATACCTAAGGCCCCCAGTGTGGGCTGCTGTCCTTTCTCCCTGCACTTGGCCGTGGCTCTCGGGGAGAGGGGCGGGCACTCTGACCAGCCTTCCTGACCAGAGTTCGTCACCTGACCCGGCAGTCCCCATGCGGCCACCTGCGGCTCTGCAGATGGTTTCTGGTCACCAAACAGGCCGTGGTCAAGTCGCCATTTTGACACAACAATGTCAGATACGTCAATGTTGCAGGAAGCAGGATCCCTTCCAGGGTCCAAGAGTGGACTCTTGTCCAATGCTGGGAAATGAGTAGTCCAAGGAGACACACATGCTTACCCAGCAAGAGACTCGAGCAGGCACCCACGTGGAGAGCAGTAGTGCAGGGAACCCAGGAGGACCACTCTGCCACGTGGTGAGGGGGTTAGTTTCGGGATTGTCTCTGACCAGTCAGCTTGCTTGGCCCATAGTCTGACTCAGGGTCCCTCCTGGTGGCACACCCATCTCTCAGCCAAGATGGACCCCAGTGCAAAGGATTCTGGGAGGTTGGTTGTCTCCACCCTGTTTTGGCCTCTCCTGAATTCTCCCGGATAGTTTTATTGGGACCTCCTGTTGTGAGACCAGTTAGGCAAGCAGTTCTCATCCTGCTAGGCCAAGGCGGGTTGTTTCAGCCCATGGTTCCCTAACATAAGAACATTGGTTTTTGTTTCTCAGTGATGGCAGGCAACAGAGCATTTCAGGCCTCACTCCATCCCTGAATCAGATGCACCTGGGGTTCAAGGGTAATCGGCTTAGGAGTGAGGCTGGGCAGAATTTGAGGGCATCGGGATATGGAAGGATTGGGAGGTGCCCGGTCAAGAATGGGGTGGGGTTCAGAGCTGGAATTAATGGGTGCCTGCACTATTTTGCTACAGAAAAAAGAAGCTGAAAATGAAAGCTGTAATTTTTTTAAGCACAGTCAGCCTGTTATGCCCCCTCCCTCACTTTATCTGAGTGTCCATTTTAGGGAATAGAGAATGGGGGGAGGGGCCAAAGAAGTGCCAAGAGAGACACAGGGACTACATCATCTATCTGAAGTTAGAGACCCTAAAAAGCTTGGAGTTAAGGGGTCCTCAAGGGTCCCCTGGCACCCCCTGCCCATTCTAGATGCACCCAGACTGAGGCCTGGCCTGGGGCGGCCCACTCCCTGAGACCCCAGCCTCCTTACCTGAAATTCTGCTCCTGAGGAAGCTGTAGGGATCCCATGTCCAGTCATATCTGCTGGCTGGAGGACAAGTGGGGCCTGGGAGAGGTGGCTCAGTGAGCCACGGTCTGGTGGCTAGGCCATATCTGGCCAGCAGACCACATCCTCTCTGCAGAGGGCCTGGTCCAGCCCTCAGGTAGGGAGTGGGGGAAGTAGACTGGTCTCCCCGCATGTCCACAGAGTCAGCTGACAAGGCCTCGAGGCTTGAAGATCAGCTTGGGACAACAGTCTGTCTCTCTGCACACTGCACCGTGTTCTGCCTACTGGAGATGGGTGTCCATGTGGGGCTGCCCCGTGGCAGGTATCCACAAAGCTCGATCCTTCACTTCCTTTAAGCCTTTACTCAGGAATCACCGTTCACTGAGGCTCCTCTTGTCACACTATCTAAAACTTTAGCCCCTCCCCCAAATTTCGCATCTACTCCCTGTTTTATTCTCTTTTCATTACTGTTATTTTTCATACTGTACATTTCACTAATCTTGTTTATTATTTCCCCACCCCCACTCATGCACACATACAAAGAGATGCACTATAATATAAGCTGGGCTTCCCAGGTGGCTCAGATGGTAAAGAATAAGCCTGCAATGTAGGAGACCCAGGTTTGATCCCTGGGTTGAGAGGATCCCCTAGAGAAGGAAATGGCAGCCCACTCCAGTCTTGCCTGGAGGATTCCATGGACAGAGGAGCCTGGCAGGCTACACAGTCCGTGGGGTCACAAAGAGTTGGACACGACCAAGAGACTAACACTTTCGCTATAAGCTTTCACTTTCAATATAAGCTACATGGAGACAGGAATTTTTAAAATATTTGTTTGGCTGTACTGGGTCTTAGTTGCCACAAATGGGATCTAGTTCTCTGACCAGGGATCAAACCCAGGCCTGCCGTATTGAGAGCTTCGAGTCTTAGCCACTGGACCACCAGGGAAGTCCCCAAGACAGGAATTTTTGTCTGTTTTGTTTACTGCTGTACCCTGGCACTTAGAACAGTGCCTGGCACCTAGTGGGTACTTGGTAAATATTTAATTAATTCACTTATAATCAATTTGTAAGATGAAGCAACAAGATGAGATTGTCCCCAAGGTCCCTTCCAGCTCTGATTCCTTGTCTCTGTCATCACTTGTGTTCATTCAGTTGATCATTCAGTAGGTGTTTATTGGAGCCCTCAATAGTCAGAACGACCCTCTCTCCCTTAGCCCAGGAAGTTAAGACTTTGCTCAGCAGACCCCTAGCACAGAAGAGAGAGCAAGTCCTGCAGTGCCCACCTGTGTCACTTCTTTGGGTCCTGCATCCTCAGTGATGAGCTGGGATTAGTTGGGGAGTAGGGAGTAGGGACACAGCCCGAGAATGGTGATCCAGGGCGGTTGTCAGGTCAGGGTGGCAAGACTGTGCCCCTGGAGACGAAGCCTGCAGTGCTGGAGAGCGTGGTACCACTCCTTGAAAGAGGGAGGGACTCTTTCAAAACCTGTTTCTATTAAGGGGAAAGGCTCTGGTGCTTTACCCTTAGCCTTTTTTTTTTAAGAATTTTTTTGATGTGGGTCATTTTTAAAAAGTCTTTATTTAATTTGTTACACTATTGTTTCTATTTTATGTTCTGGTTTTCTGGCCCCAAGACATGTGGAATCATAGCTCCCCAACCAGAAGTGGAACCCCCACTGCCTGCTTTGGAAGGCGAAGCCTTAACCACTGGACTGCAAGGGAAATCCTACCCTTCACCTCTTTAGCACTCACTAATCTACCTTTTTCAAAAGAGAAAGCAAGCTTCCAGCTCTAAAGCCTTGGCAGCCCATAGTACCTCGCTAGAGTTTAATAACAGAACTTTGTGATCATTCCCTGGTGGCTCAGATGGTAAAGAGTCTGCTTGCAATGCAGGAGAGCCGGGTTCGCTCCCTGGGTCAGGAAGATCCCCTGGAGAAGGGAATGGCAACCCAATCCATGATTTTTGCTTGAAGAATCCCATGGACAGAGGAGCCTGGTGGGCTACAGTCCATAGGGTTGCAAACAGTCAGACATAACAGAGGGCCTAAACTTGTGATCATTATATTCAGCTTACTTATTTTCTATTTATGAGAAGCGACTGTAGCATTTTTACTTAAAGCAGCAATATGAAGTTTCCTTTTGAAATAATTTTGAACCAAAAAAAAAGTACACAGATTTAAAGAAAAGTAATGATTATAGGTGGCATGTCAAGGCATATAGGAGTATATGTATAGGAGTATATATAGTATATGAGTGACATGTTTAGGAAATATGCAGCAAATAATGTATTGAGCACCTACTGTGCCAGCAGATGTCATAGGGGTTGGGGGTGCAGCTGTAAACGAAACAGACTAAACTGCCACCTTCATGGAGTTTACATCCTAGTAAACTTCCTGGAGTTTACATCCTGGCAGAACATGATCCAGATGCTTGGTGACATTCCGAGGAGGGTGGGCGTCAGTGTCATCCCTGCCCCTCTGGGTTCCCGGTCGCCAGCTATCCCCCCACAACAGGAAGTGAGGGGCCGAGGAAACCCCCCAGCTGCAGGAAGCATCAGTTAACAACGGGTTCCTGGATGTGGGGAGCAGAAGCTTTCCTGGGGAAGCTCCTGCTGGTGTCCGGGGCAGAGGGGAGGTGCCACCGGGCCGTCGGTGCATCTGTGGACTGGGCGGAGCAGGGGTGAGTGAGTGCTGGGCCAAGGCTCGAGCTCTGATGCTCTTTCTCGGCAGGCCAGCTCCCGCCCCGCCTTGGAGCGCTATTTCCATGCCGTGGTGACAGCCGTGGAGCAGATGGCCAGAGAGCCAAGCCCTAGCCGAGAGGGCCACCTGGAGAGGCTGGAGGAGATTTACTGCTCCCTGCTGGGGCCGGCGGCGACAGCCAGGGGGCGCTGCGGCGGTAAGCGGCAGGCGCGGTGGGCTGCTATCCGGTCACCTGCAGGGGGCGCCAGAGAGCAACTCTAAACCAGCCCGGAGTAGGCCAGTGTGGCTGAAGCGGGGGTGGGACACACAGCAACTCCCAGGAGCCCAGGGCCTGAGGGTGCTCAAGAACTTGAAGGTCTTGGGTTAATATGAAGGTGGGTAATTTGGGCATGATAACAGCTGACACCTACTTGGCACATCCCTACACCCCATTTGCTGTTCTCAGCAATTTACATAGATTAAATCAATTAATCCTCACAATAAACTACTTATGAAATAGAAGGCATTATCCCCATTTTACAGACGAGAAAACTGTGTTAGAAAGAGGCTATAAATCTTGCCCAAGGTCACCCACCTCCTAAGTAGCAGAGTTGAGATTCAAACACAGGCTGTCTGGTTCTTAGGTGTGTGGTGTTAGTGGCTCAGTGTGTCTGACTCTTTGCAGCCCCTTGGACTGTAGCCCACCAGGCTCCTCTGTCTATGAAATTCTCCAGGCAGGAATAGTGAAGTGGGTAGTCAGTTCCTTCTCCAGGGGATCTTCATGACCCGGGGATCAAACCCAGGTCTCCTGCATTACAAGTGAATTTTTTTACCATCTAAGCCACCCAGGAAACCCATCAGTACTTTATAATAAGCAATGTGCTTCCTGTGCGGGGGTCACAGGTTCAATTCCTGGTCAGGGTACTAAAACCCCACATACCTCTTGGTGCAGCAAAAAAAAAAACAAGTATTCTATAGTGCTTCTGATTACCACATGGAAATACCTATTCATGAAGCTTCCCATCCACCCAGCCTTATCCCCAGTCCCAAAGCTGGGCCAAGCCCTGGAGCAAACCTGGCTTTGCTCTTCTTGGGTACCACTTGCTAACTCAGCAGTAACTCTGCATAGGCAGGACAAGACCTGTCTGAACTGCCCCCACCACCTCTGCCATATCCAGACACCTACTTCCCACCCAGACTTCCCAGCACATCTAACTGACCAGCGAGCGTCCCCGTTGACCCCTTGCTTCTAGGGGGCAGCATGAGACAGTGGTTATGGGCACCACGTCACGGGTAAAAGCATGGACTCTGAAGCCAGATTGCCTGGATTTAAATTCTGGCTCTGCCCCTTCCTGTGTGACCTCAGGCCACTTACTTAACCTCTCTGTGCCCCTGCCTCCTCCTCTGTAGTGAAGATACTATTCCCTGTGACCCTGGGTTGCTGGTAGGACCTGGTGAGATGATAAGCAAGTTAAGAACAGTAGTAAGTGTTCCGTGACTGGGGTTTGCTTTCCCCTGAGGAAGCCTGCAGCCTTGTTCTGGAGGGAGCCGTGCTCTGTGGAAGTTAAACCCTAAGGCAGCCCATTAGGTGTGCCCAGTGTGCAGCCAATAAAGTCTGGGGAGGGAATGACTCCCGGGGCTGGAGTGTCAAGAAGATTCTGGAAGGAGGAGTGGGGATCAGCTGGCCCTGGTCTCATCCCTGGATGCAGGCTTCCCACTGCACTTAGTTCCTGGCCGTGAGTCTGTAACCTCCCCTAAAGGAGCAAACGTTAATGGAGCGTCTACTGCACCCAAGCTCCTAGAGAAGGCCCTGAGCAATCCAGAGGCCTCTCCCCCTGGTCTGTTCATGGACAGTGGGGAGGGCAGTGTGGTGGCAGCAGGGCTGGGGGTGGGACCACAATGGGAGGGACCAACAGCGGGAGAAAAGGTTGGGAAGGATAAAGTGGGCTGGCTTGAGAAGGGTCCTACGGTTCCAGCTAGGAGGTTTGCAGGAAGCAGGAGCTGCTAGGCATGCTTGGGTCGTGAGGGGACCAGCAGTGTTAGCTCCAATGAGCTGATGGTGGCAGAGAGGCAGGGGAACTCAGCAAGGCCAGACGTGGGAGGGAGCGGGGCTCTGCCATTTCCTCTGGGCCCCCTGACGGGAGCTGGGGGTGGGGGAGGGGCAGAAAAGACTCCCACAACCCTCTCCTCCGTGGTCTCCGCAGCCTGCTCCTTCCTTCAGGTGACCCCCTCCAGGACCAGCCACTGAGTGTCCCTCTGCCCAGCCCCCGCATCACCTTCCACCTGTGGACCGACGAGGAGCAGCTCTGTAAGTGCCTTGGACCTCCCTGGGGAACAGGCTGGAAACAATGCGGGATATGCGCGCGTGTGTGTGTGTCTGTGCATCTGTGTGTTTATGTGTCCGTCTCTCGGTGTGCGTGCAGGTGTCTTTGTGTGTCTGTGTGTCCACTGTGTGTGTGTCTGTCTCTGTGTATACCTGTCATGTATGTGTCTGTGTGTGTTTATGCGTCTGTGTGCCTCTGTGCATGTGTCTGTGTGATCGCTGAGTGTCTGCTTGTGCATCTGTTGTGTGTGCCTGTGTGCACCTTTGTATGTCTGTTTGCGTGTGTGTGTCTGTGTATCTGTTGTGTCTGTCTGTGAGTGTGCTCCTTGTCCCTTGAGTTGTCTGCAGCATCCGAAAAGCATTTTCTCTGTGTCAGGGCAGCCCTGTGCATTAGCCTCTGGTCACGTGTGTCCAGAAAGCGCCACACACCATGTTGATGCCAACAGATGGTGCGTGCCCCTAAGAAGGAGGCAGGCACCAAAGAGAGCAGTAGTTCCCAGAGCAGGAGGGGGCCCACACTTCCCCTCCGTGCTGGGGTTGGCCCCCCTTCCCCCACCCCAGCCCCTGCTCTTCTCAAGGCAGGGGGAGTCAGAAGGGCAGGTTGTGGTGGGAGGTGCCAAACTGGTGAAGCGAGTTCCAGGTCCACACCTTTCATGTGCTGGGTCCCCCTAGATGGGCTCGGTGCACTCGGGCCCTCAGTTTCCTCATGAGCAACAAAATGAAAGGCAATTGGAAAAGCCTGGAGGTCTCTCCAGGAGCTGATGCTCTGTTGTCTGTGTCCCCGGGGAAGCTGCAGGGGAGTGGGAGCACGGGAGGGTGCTCGTGAGCCCAGGGGAAGAGGGCTCCAGAGTCCAGAGGCAGTGAGTGAAGCTGATGTCTTTGCGGCAGGACTTCTCAGCGCCTTTTAAGCTGATGTCTTTGCGGCAGGACTTCTCAGCGCCTTTAGGATGTTCACCTGTGGTCTGAGTATGTGCGGTTCTCAGTCTCTGTTTGCCACATAACCTCTGTTCCTCCTCAAAGCATCTCATGGGGCTTCTGTTCAGCTAACAAGTGTGTGGGAAACATGGGACCACCAGCCTCGCTGGGTGAGCCCCAGCCAGCCTGGTGTCCCCTCTCCACCCTGACAGTCCCCTTGGTCTCACATCCCAGGGAAGGAACTGGTGCTCTTCCTGCGCCCGCAAACCCAGCTGCGCCTCAGTGCAGACTTGGAGGCCTTGGATCTTCAGGGCCTCCTGCCAGACTGGGAGCTGGCCCGGGCGTCCATGCTGTCCACTGACAGCGGCATCGAGCGGGACCTTCCTCTGGGGGCCGACGAGCTGCTGGCCCCTGGCAGCCCCGAGGCAGAGCGAGCCGGGCTGCAGCGCAAAGGGGGCATCAAGAAGCGGGTGTGGCCCGCAGACATCGTGATGCCCAGCAGCTGGGATGGGCCCCCAGGGCTGCACCGCAGGACGGGCAGGCCCAGCGGGGACGGGGAGCTACTGCCCGGCGTCTCCCGGCTGCACACAGCGCGGGTGCTGGTGCTGGGGGATGACAGGATGCTGGGGCGCCTGGCCCGGGCCTACCGCAACCTCAGGTAGGGCCTCAGGGGGCAGCTGGGGATGGTTGGGACACAGGTGGGCCTGGCCTGGGCTGCTGAAGGATGGAGAAGTGGGCTGGGGGAGGCCAAGACCAGGGTGGAATGGGGGGCGGTGGCTCCCTGTGTTCCCCCCAAACCCCACACCCGGCCACCATGGAGCACCATGCTCCCCGCTTTACTGCACCCATTCTACAGATGAGAAAGCAGAGGCTCAGAGTGAGCAGGCCAGTTGCCCAGAGTCGAAAAGATATTAAGTAACAGAGCCAGGAGGTGGAACCAAGTCTGTGGGAAGCCCAAAGCCTGCTCACGCCTGTGCTCTGCTCCCCCTGCCAGGAAGCAAGAAACCCAGAGGTTCTGCCTCACCCCCCGACTCAGCCTGCAGCTCTACTACATCCCCCTGCTGGCTCCCAAGGTGCTGGACTGGGGGGGAGTTGGGAGAGGGGGGACCTAGGGGAAGGGGTGGAGGGCAGGGTTGGGGGTGAGCCCTGGGGAAGGGATCAAGGGTGTCAGGAGCAGGAACTGGGGTCAGTCTTCCTTAGGATGTGGAGCTGGGGGCGACCTGGAGGTTTCTGTCCCAGAGGCTACAGGCATGGGCCCTGGGGGTGGCAGAGATGCCTTTTCATTGTGGCAGCCTGCTCATGACCCCATGACCCCATGGCCGATTTCCTTTTGCTTGTCTGATGGAATCAGTGGCAAGCTGATGCTTAAACAGGAGGGCCTCTCTCTCTTAAACACACACACACACACACACACACACTCCTACCCCTTCCTAGGGGAGACGAAGCTGCACTGGCAATATTTCCTTTCTGTTGTCCCCTCTGCTGATTGGGGAGCCTTAAGTTCAAGACACTGCTTGTCTGTCCCCTTTAAGGCTAATGACCACTCTTCAGCGTCCCTGGCAGGCGTCCTCGGGAAGGGGGGTTCCAGCTTCACCTCAGGTGTGAGACCCATCTTCACGTGATGCAGAAATCCAGGCCCTAAGAGCTTGAATAATTTGACCCATTCCCAAAGCTAGTTTGTCTAGGACCGGTACCTGGGGACCCGCTCCCCCCACCCCCTCATCGAGCAGGAAGAAAGTGCCAGAGTGGGCCTGACCCGTCCTCCCCGACCCCTTGTTCGCAGACATCTGCAGCATCCAGGCAGTCAGAGCTGGGAGAGTTGGCCGCGTTCCTGGGCCGCATGGACCCGTGGTACGAGAGCATCGTCAACACCCTGTGTCCCACCATCCACAAGCTGGCAGAGATGGTAGGAGGGTGAGGGTGGGAGGTAGGGGGAGCATTTTCTTGAATTTTGACCCCAAGAGTCAGCCCCAAACCCCTCTGCTGATTGGGGAGCCTTAAGTTCAAGACACTGCTTGTCTGTCCCCTTTAAGGCTAATGACCACTCTTCAGCGTCCCTGGCAGGCGTCCTCGGGAAGGGGGGTTCCAGCTTCACCTCAGGTGTGAGACCCATCTTCACGTGATGCAGAAATCCAGGCCCTAAGAGCTTGAATAATTTGACCCATTCCCAAAGCTAGTTTGTCTAGGACCGGTAACTGGGGACCCGCTCCCCCCACCCCCTCATCGAACAGGAAGAAAGTGCCAGAGTGGGCCTGACCCGTCCTCCCCGACCCCTTGTTCGCAGACATCTGCAGCATCCAGGCATTCAGAGCTGGGAGAGTTGGCCGCGTTCCTGGGCCGCATGGACCCGTGGTACGAGAGCATCGTCAACACCCTGTGCCCCACCATCCACAAGCTGGCAGAGATGGTAGGAGGGTGAGGGTGGGAGGTAGGGGGAGCATTTTCTTGAATTTTGACCCCAAGAGTCAGCCCCAAGGGGCCCCACAAGGGATAAGGCAGAAGAGGGGCCCTAAGGAGCTAGTGGCTAGAATTTATTACGGACCAGGTACCTTCCTGTTTGGACAGGACCACTGTGTGGAGAGGACAAGGGAAACATTCTTTATTCTTTATTAAAGTGTGTGGGCCAATGATATGCTTCTCACTGGAAACTTGTGAGTTTGCTGGGCTGCTTTGCAACGGTTGCAAACAGTTAACGTTCCTGAGCACGGCTCCATGCCAGGCACTGTTCTAAGCATTCCCACTCGCGGCCCTACCAGCTGGGCACGTGTGTCTGTCTACCGGTGCTGTCGTCACCACATCCCCATTTTACAGATCAGGCAGCTAAGGCACAAAGAGATTAGGTCTCTTGCCCAGAGTAACAGGCTGAGTCCCACTCGGAATAAGGCAGCTTCATTCCAAAGCATGTTCTCTGAGCCACAAGCCATCGTGCAGTCCCCAGGCCCAGGCAATGGTGAGGACAGGCAGGGAAGGGGCTCATCTTTCACTGATTTGAAAGGCCTTCTGCTGTCATTTGTGCTGCAGACATTTTTTTCCCACTTTTTTCATTTCAGTCTTGTCAGAAGTGGGGTTTGTTCTGACCTACAGAATTTCAAATATGTCTGTCCTTTATGGCTTCTGCCTTTGCAGCCATGCTTTGAAAGACCTTCTCCATTCCAAGATTAAATTCACTGATAATTTACTCTAACAATTTTAGCATCTCATTTTTTACATTTAGATAACCTGTCTGCAATTAATTTCAGTATGTAATTTTATTTTTTCCAAGTGTTTAGGCTGTTGTTGTAAAGCTATTTATTGGGTATACCATCAGCTTGAAATGCCACTTTTATCATTTATTAAAATTCTTACATATGCTGGAGTGTATTCTTTCTCAGTGATCTATTCATTTATGTATAAATTTGCACTTTTATATTTTAATATCTGGCATGATACATTTACACCATTACTCTTCTTTTGCAAAACTTTTCAGACTATGTTTATTTATCTTTCCATATAAATTTTAGAATTCCATTGTTGAGTTTGTTTGTTTGTTTTTAGATTTTTCTTTTCTTTCCTTTTTTTTTTGTGCCACACTGCAAGGCATTGGGATCTTAGTTCCCCAACCAGGAATTGAACCCATGCCCCCTGAAGTGGAAGCACAAAGTCCTAGTCACTGGACAGCCAGGGAATTCCTGTCAAGTTTTATTTTTAATCCCCTTGGGATTTTGATTGAGTTTTGGAGAATGAACTTAAGTAACCCTCTGGGGGTGTGGTATAACTCTTCACTTCTTAAAGTCTTTATTTCTCTCAGGATCAGTGTTCAGTTTTCATTTGTGTTATTTTTTTAGATTCCACATATAAGTAATATTATAGGATATTTGTCTTTCTCTGTCTGATGTACTTCCCTTAGTATGATAATCTCTAGGTCCATCTATGTTGCTGTAAGTGGCATCATTTCATTCTTTTTTATGGCTGAGTAACATTCCATTGTATATATGTGCTACATCTTCTTTATCCACTCATCTCTTGATGGACATTTAGGTTGCTTCCATGTCTTGACTATTGTAAATAGTGCTGTTATGAACACTGGGGTGCTGGATGGGTGTCTTTTGATTAGGGGTAGAAATCAGCTGGCAGGAAAGGCTTGGACAGTGCTGAAGAAACAGCCGGGTTAGTGCAGAGCAGGGGGCACTTTTGGAGTTTCTCTGTTAAGAAAGTGGCAGCTCCCACAACAGTGTGGAGGGAGCTGGCTGAGGACAGCCTCCCTCCCTCCTTCACAGCCTCTCTCCCTGGACACATCCCAGACTGTAGACCCCTTCATCCTGGATGCCATCACCTACTATGTTCGCATGGGCACCCAGCCCATCTATTTCCAGATCTACACAGTCAAGGTAAGCTTCCCACCTGGGGTTCCAAGGAGACCATGGCAGCCTGTTGGACCCCAGGACCCCGCAACCTAAATGCCCTGGCTCCAGGGAAACGGGACCAGGATGCAAGTCATAAGCTCATCCAGACATTCTTTTTTTCTTTTCTATATTTATTTATTTTATTTCTTTGGCCATATCGGGTCTTCCTTGCTGCACACGGGATCTTTCGTTGCGGTTCACAGACCCTCTAGTTGTCGCCCATGGGCTTAATAGCTCCTCGGCATGTGGGACCTTAGTTCCCCGACCAGGGATTGAACCCATGTCCTCTGCATTGCAAGGTGGGCTGTTAACCACTGGACCACCAGAAAAGTCCCCCATCCAGACTTTCTTGGTTGTTCACTTTGTCTTCTTCCTTTCTGGATACGTAAGAGAATCATTAACTTCTAACACCTCAAGCTCAAGCAGAAGCAGACTCTTCACGCGGAAGGGCTCTCTGTCCTTACATCCTCCCCATCATCCTTGCTAACCTCACCTCTTGCAGCAACTGCCTTCATCTCTGCTCTGCTCACCGCATTACATGATCAAGTGCTTCTCCAGGGTGTTCCTGTGATGCTCCGGGCCTCGCTCTGGCACCTCACTGCCACTTTGTCATGTACCTGCCAAAGCCAGTGCCTCCCCACCAAGACTCTGAGTCCTCTGAGATGAGACTATACTTTGTTCGTCTTGAGTCTCCTGCTAGTAGCACAGTAAAATGTGTGTGTGTGTATCAGAGGATGGGTCAGTGTGGGACTGGCTGTGTGCAGTGGGTATAGAGTTAGAGGCAGTGTGAGGTAGTGAGAAGTTCATGGCTCTGCCTCCTGGTCCCTCTGCATGCTTGCTGTGTGATCACAGCTACCTTCACTTCCCTGACATTGATTCTCCCCACCTTTAAAAAAAATAAATTTATTTATTTATGGGCTGTGCTGGGTCTTTGTAGCCGTGCTGGCTTTTCTTGAGTCGCAGTGATCTCTAGCTGCAGTTTGCAGGCCCCTCACCATGGTGGCGTCTCTTTTTGCAGAGCACAGGCTCTAGGGTGCGTGGGCTCAATAGCCGTGGCTCGTGGGCTCTAGAGCTCAGGCTCAGTAGTTGTGGCTCACAGGCTTAGTTGCTCTGTGGCATGTGGGATCTTCCCAGACCAGGGATCGAACCCATGTCTTCGGCATTGGCAGGTGAATTCTTTACCACTGAGCCACCAGGAAAGCCCCATTTTCCCCATCTTTAAAATGGGGAAAGCAATCTTCATCACAGGGTTTTTGTGAGAATTTAAATGAGTAGAAAAATATATTAAACGATTGATGGGGGAAGATGACGGCAAGGCGGTCGGCACATGGAAGATTTCAGGACAGTGGTGGGAGGATCAAAATCCCACATCCCGGGACTTCCCTGCTGGTCCAGTGGCTAAGACTCCATGCAGTGGGCCTGAGTTCAATCCCTGGTCAGGGAACTAGATCCCACATGCTGCAACTAAGACCCAGTGCAGCCAAATAAATAACAAATAAGTAAATATTTTAAAAAATATCCTGGGCTATGGGGGTTCCTGGGAGCTGCCCCTGGCAGGGACGACCTCCCCTAGCCTCCCTCCCTCCCCCCGGCCTCCCTCCAGATCTTCTCTGGTGACCTGAGCCAAGACCCTGTGGAGGACATTTTCCTCACCGAGCTGAAGGTCAAGATCCAAGACTCCAAGTTCCCCAAAGGTGAGCATCTGTCTCCCCTTTCCCAAAGCTCAGCCGACTCAGCTTCCTCAAGGCCCACTTCCAGAAAGCCCTCCCACCTCTCAAGGCCCTGTCCCACCCCGCTCCCCCCCACCTCTGAGGAGCACCAGGGTGCCCTGTCCCCTGCAGGCTCGCCCAGCCCTAAGGGCAGCCTGGCACCCCCTGAGATGCAGCCTTTCCGCTCTGGAACAGATGGGGCTTCACCTGGGCCTCGATGAGGGAGGGACAGGGCCTCCCACCTTCATTCAGCCTCTTCTCTTCCCACAGATAGTTTTTCACCCCGGAGGAGGGGCGTGGCCGAGGGCCCAGGGGCTGAGCTGTCCATCTGCTACCAGAAGGTCAGTGGGCGTGGCGCCGCCAGGAGGTGGCTGGAGGTACCGCTGGAGGGAGGCAGGTGTCAGGGACATGGCGGGGAGCAGACAGCAGACAGAGGGACCTTCTGCCCTTCCCTTGACACAGCCCCCAGTTTCCCGAACTCCAGAGCGTTTTGCAGGGATGGGTGGGTCGTGACTGGCCTTACACACAGACGAGGAGGCCATCTGATGTGAGGAACAGGATGCTGTCCCTTTGTTCAAAAATATCCTCCTCCCTAGCTGACCAGATGCATCGGAGTACAGTCCTCAGTCTGGAGGGCGGAACGTGCCCCCGGGACTGAGTGCTTTGAGCCTTCGTCCTCTGGTTCCTTACTGGACGTCAGCCTAACCGGGGCTCAGGGCAGCAGCAGGAAGTGGAGAAGGAGGGGTGGGGGGACAAGCAGACTGTTGATGTGGCGATGTGTGCCCTGTCCTGAGGACCCCATCTGCCCCTGCGTCCCCCTCCCCAGGCCCTGCTCAGCCAGCGGACCCGGGAGGTCACCGTCTCCCTGCGGGCCACTGGGCTGGTTCTGAAGACCCTTCCAGCCAGTGACACTGAAGGTGAGGAGCTGGGCAAGCAGAGAAGCTGGTGCCGGAGGAGGAGAGAGGGTGGAGGACCAGAGATGGAGGGAGCGGGGGAAGGCAGCCTCCCTCCCTGTCCCTGGGAGAGCAGGAAGATGGCCCAGCTCCCACTCGTGCCGGGCCCAGGACTGGGCACCAGGCTGCTTGGCAAGGCCCAGCCCAGCCCTCAGGTGGATCACCGAGCAGCCCAGGGTGATGCTCTCCTGCCTGAGCAGGTATGGGAAGGGGTTAAAACAGAAAGGGGTGGTGGTCACGGTGGGTTCATGTCCTTCTTAGGACATAGCATCCCCAGCTGCCCTCCTTCCCTGGAGGCCCATTTACAACCCCGCATCTCACCCTTCCCAGTTTCAGGGCCCACCCACTGCACACCCCCTGCTGCTCCCGACACAGACCACACGTGCCTGAAAGTTAGTGTGACAGAGATCGTGAAGACCTCCAACTTGGCGGGAAGGTCCTTCTCTGTAAGTCCTGGGGAGGAGGGGAACTGGGGAGATTCACACAGGGTAGGGTGAATCAGAGAAGAGAGCCTGGGGAGGGTGTGCAGAGAAGAGGGAGCCCGGAGCCTTTGTGAGTCCCTGCTATTGAAGCCAGTCTTCCTGTTGGGAAGAACCTGATTTCCAGTCTGTTTGAAATACTGAGCACCCACTGGCATAAGTAGGGCCCTGGAAGAGGTAAGGCCCCACCCCACCTCCACCTGGACCATCTGAGGACCTGCGATGTACACAGATAAGTACAAAATGCACCCAAGTACTGTATCCGCTGCTCACAGCAGCCAAAACCGCAGCGGCCCAGCCTTTGTGTGTGTTTCTTTGTTTTCGGCTGCATTGGGTCTCTGTTGCTGTGCTTGGGCTTTCTCTACCTGCAGAAGCAGGGGCTACTCTTTCTTGTGGTGCTTGGTTTCTCACTGTGGGGGCTTCTCTCATCGCAGGGCACAGGCTCTAGGGCATGTGGGCTCAGTAATTGTGACCCATGGGCTCAGTTGCTCCACAGCATGTGGAATCCTTCCAGGTCAGTGATAAAACCTGTGTCCCCTGCATTGGCAGACAGATTCTTAGCGACTGTGGCATCTGAGAAGTCCCAGCCTTTGACCAAATAAAACCTGCCCTTTCAACCCCATGGCCCTACCGCTGCCCTCTGCCCTTTGCTCTTATTGATACTCATAGAGATAGAGACATAGGTCCTGCCCATTTTGTCCTTATCTGATAGCCACTCTGGATGTCACTGCCCTACTCAGCTGGGCTTGGAGTGCATGATCACACCTGAACCGTGTTGTCAGAAAGCCTGGACTCCCCCTCTCACCTACCAGGCAGATGCTCCCTTTAGGTCAAGCTGCCTACGAGGTCTGATGCCCGAGTGTCTTGAGTGCTTCTGTGACATCCTGCATCCTCGCAGGTCAGGGCCGCCACACTCTTATCACCTCCCACCTCATCCCAGCCCTGCCTGGTAGGTGAGAGGGGGAGAGTGATTCAGGGACTCTTTTCCTTAAACCAGGTCCTTAAATAGATAGTGTTCTCCACTTTGGTCCATGACCCACTTCTTTTCTTACTCCCTGGGCTCTCAAAGGCTTTAGTCCAAGTTGTTAAGGGCACCCACATCTTTATCTCCTGCTCTGACATTCACCACTGAGTGTCTGACCCCTAAATTAGCATGAGCTGGGTGTCCCACAACACCCCAAACTGAAGATACTCAAAACCAAAGCCAGTGCTTTCCAGTAGTGGAATTCTCTAGAGCCAGACTGCCTAGACTCAGATCTTGGGGCTCTCATTTACCAGCTATGTGACTTAGGCAAGAGTCTCCAGTTTTCTGCGCCTCAGTCTCACCGTCTGGAAAATGGGGATAATAATGGTAGCGAACTTATCTGGTTGTTGTGAGGACTGAATGATGATGACATGTAAAGGTTCTAGAAGAGCACTTATCCAAGTCAGAGCTGTATATGTGGTACTGTATTGTTTAGTCACTCAGTCGTGTCAGACTCATTGCGGTCCCATGGACTCTGGCCCGCCAGGCTCCTCTGACCATGGGATTTCCCAGGCAAGAATACTCGAGTTGGGTTGCCATTTCCTTCTCCAGGGGATCTTCTAGAGCCAGGGATCGAACCAGTGTCTCTTACATCTCCTGCATTGGCAGGTGGATTCTTTACCACTGAGCCACCTGGGAAGTCCCATATACGTGTTAGCGGCTGTTGTTATTTCATGCCCTCCTCCGCTGTGTCCATCTCCTGTCCAGTGAGGCCATCGTTAACCAGTCACCTTTCCCAGAAACCTGGGAGTCAGCTCAGATGCCTCCTCTTCCTTACTTCCTATTGTCTGCTGATGTTCTCTCTCAAACACTCTCATAGCCCTCCCTTCCTCTCCATCCTCCTGGTCCAGCGAGGTTGACCAGCTGTCCCAGTTTGCCTGGGACTGGAGGGTTTCCTAGGATCTGGGGCTCTTGATGCTAAAACTAGGAAAAGTTCTAGCAAACCGGAGCAAACTGGTCATTCTTGGGCCAGATTTTTCATCCACCTCTTTCTGGACAAACTCAGCAGCCCCTGTTGTCACACCAGTGCTCCTTCAGTCCACCCTCCACAAGTCTGCCCGTGTGATCTTTCTAAAACAGACACATCACTCCATGCTTAAAACCCCTTGTTCATTTTCCTCTCTCCAGGCAGAAGGGTGGAAGAACTTCAGCGTTGCATAGTTTGGTTCCTCTTCCTCTCTATTTGCAGCCCCAGCCAGCCCTGCATGCCCTTGACACCAGGTTATTTGTGATACCAAACCAAACCTGGGTCCTCTCGCCCAGGTGCAGTAAAGCCAGTCTTCTGACACTGGGTTGTGGTGAAGAAAAGTATAGCTTTTATTGCAGGTGCCAAACAAGGAGTCCAGGGCAGCTGATGCTCAAAACCACCGAACTCCCCAAGGAGTTTCAGCAAAGCACTTCTAAAAGCCAGATGAGGGAGGGACGCCCTAGGGTATGTGATCAGCTGGTATACAACTCTATGATTGGTTGATGGCAAGGGAACAGAGTGATGTCATAGGCATTAACACCATCAATCCTTAGGTGCCAGTGGGTCTGGGGGCTACCTGCTCATGATTATGTAATTAATAATTATCATGTAGTTAATTTCTTCCTTTGGTGGTGGTTTTAGCATCTGTAATAAAACAACTCGGGAAATGTGCATCAGATACTGTGACCTAGGTACCTCAGAGAGGAGCCGAAGCAGAGGATATGAGGGAGAGGCCTGTTCCAGGGAAGGCCCCAAAGCACCCTGCTCAGTTATGTTTGGAAGTGTGCTGGCCATCTTTCCTCTGCGCCTCACTTGACCTGAAACCCCGTTCCTCCCTTTCTCTTCCCTGTCCTCCTCTGTTTCTCTTTCAAGATTAAACTCAGGTGTCATCTCCCCCAGGAGGCCCTTCCCTGCATATCCTCCACCCCTCTCCCCTGAGAGCTTAGGGCCCCACGTCTGTGCCCGCCCTCCCCACCCCCCTCCCCCACAAACCCTGGGGACATGGCCATGGCAGCATTTGCAAAACTATCAGTGATGTGATCTCAGCAATGGCTCTGGAGGGCTCAGGCCCTTCTCCATCCTCCCATCATTCAGCATGGGAACAGCTCACAGCAGGAGCTCTCCAGATGTCTCCAGATCTTCTCATCCAGCCTCCACCTCTGCAAGATCTCACCCCTAACCAGAGCTCCCTTTTTCTGGGGCAGCCTCTGACCTGGCAGAGCCCCCTATGAGCTGAGAGCTCTGTACTGAGCTGAGATTTCCAGATAGGATGCTCTGTGTTTGAGCTTCGAGCTCCAGGGTGGACCTATTTCCTTTTCATGTATTTCCTCTTTCAAAGTCAGTTCCTTACAACGGTTTCTATTTTGAATGACCTCTTTAAATAACCTGGTTGTGGGATTTTTGAAAATCTAAACACCCCAGTGAGTTCCCTTTTACCTACAAGGTAGTTGCTAATAGTAACATATTTTTGTTCTTAATAGGTGAGAAACAAAAAGCACAGAGAGATTAAGAATCATGTCCAAGGTCACACAACTAATAAGTGGCAGAGCCAGGATAGGAATCTGGGTGCCCTGGGTGTGGAGTCTGTGCTTTGACTCTCTTCCTGGGAGATTCTTGCACACCCTGCCCAGAGACTTCTGGCAGCCAACCCTCCCAGTCCACAAAAGTCCAGCAGAAATGCCAGGATGTGCTTGACCTCCTCAGGTTTAGTCTCTGTTTGCATGCATACATGCTCAGTCATGTCTGACTCTTTGCAATCCTATGGAATGTAGCCCACCAGGCTCCTCTCTCCTTGGGATTTTCCAGGCAAGAATACTGGAGTGGGTTACCATTTCCTCCTCCAGGGGATCTTCCCCACCCCGGGATCGAACTTGGGTCTCCTTCATCTCCTGCATTGGCAGGCAGATTCTTACCACTAGGCCACCTAGGAAGCCCTTCGGCGCTGTTGTGAAAGTGAAAGTCGCTCAGTCGTGTCCGACTCTTTGTGACCCCATGGACTATACAGTCCCTGGAATTCTCCAGGCCAGAATACTGGAGTAGGTAGCCTTTGCCCTTCTCCAGGGGATCTTCCCGACCCAGGAATCGAACCAGGGTCTCCTCTTTACCAACTGAGCTATCAGGGAAGCAGTTCCCTGCGGTTTGACAGCAGGAAGGTGGATCAGCCCTGCCTACAGTGGCGACCTTATCAAAAATGCCCAGGCTGGGCTGGACTCCAGACCACTTAGATCAGAATCTCTAATTTTATGTTCGGGAAAGGTGGTTCTATGCTTGAAAGAGGTGGAGACTAAGGCTCTAGAAACTAGTGCTCTGTGGTGGTGGATCACCCAAAGCTGCTGTCCACATGTGGAAGTGGCCAGTGACCAGAAAGGCCCTCAGAGCCCCATCTGGAACCCAAGATGCTCCACCTTCTCTGTCCAGGGGGAGGGGCCTCTCAGGAGCAGCAGTCCCCGCCCCCCGCCTCCGTGCTCCCCAGGTCATGGGTTGGAGGGCTGCCTCAGGGCTGTTTTCCTTTGGTCCTGGGTGCATTCTGGAGAAGCCACAGGGCTTTGGGTTTGGAAGGTGGGGTTTCCCAAGCAGAGGATGGATCCCACCTGCCTGTCACCGGTCCCCTGGTACAAACTGATACAGGCCTGGTCTGACTCACAGGAGTAAGTTGCCACTTTCTAGACCTTCTGTCTCTGCCCCAGGGAAATGATCTTGTATGCAATCCAACTAATAACTGGGGTCAGGGCTTATAAAAACCTGGAAGTATCCCCCAATTCCACACATAACACGCCTGTCATACAGGAGGTGCTCAGGTCACTGGAGCACCTGATAGGGTCCAGCTGCAGCATCCCAGGTTGTTTTTGAAATTAAGGACAACAGGCTGGAAAAAAGAACTGCACAAATGATGGGCAAGTCAAGGGCCCGGGCAGCCTAGAAGCACTTTCTGCGGGGCTGTCACTGCTCAAGAGTCACTTGCAGAAAGAGAGATGGGGACCCCCATGAACCGGGCAGAAGGTGTTGGCTGGGCTGTCTGTTACCAAGGTGATGCTCCCTGAGCTGTCTCTGTTGCAGGTGGTGACAAACACCTTCCGGACAGCCCACATCCAGATCCAGAGCCAGGACCGGAGGCTGCTGACCCTGTCGCTGGACAAGGACAGCTGCCACACGTACAAGGATGTGGTCAGGTGAGGTTGGGCTCCACAGCAGCCAGCCCCTCCCTCTCCTGCCTCGAGCCCTGAACACCTTGAAGGGGGTTTGGATCCTGTGCCAGGCAGGTGTCCCTGATGCGTATGGACTCAGGTGATGGCTTAAGTCCAGGCAAAAGAGCACTTGAGTGGCTGAAGGTGGGCAGCAGCTGAGATTACACTGTCCCAAATCTCTACAGATGCTCAGCCTGCAGCCCTTGACCCATCCCCGGGGGCTGGCACTGTGCCCCACCCCCCCCACAAACACACACACACATACACAGACACACACAGACACACATACATCGACACANCTGCAGTTAACGTGACACTTACTGGTGTCACCTGGGAGGTGTATTTGGGTCAGGCAGGCACACAGAGTGACCCACCTGGGCATGTCCTCTCCCTGTGTTCACCCCAGGCTGCTCTTTCTCATTTTGACTCTTCCTCAGCTCTCATCAGCCCCTCCCCCTTGTCTATATCCAACAATAAGGGGTGTATTTTAAAGGTATATTGTCTATACCTTTAAAATGCCCAGGCAGATCTGACCCCTGAGATGGGTCTCCTGAGCTGGCTTCTCTCTGCCCATAGGTTTGAGGTTGCTCCCTGCCCAGAGCCGTGTTCGGGGACCCATAAATCCAAGGTGCTGGGGCTCAGCTCCCACCGGCAGGAGATGGAAAGGAACAAAGCCAAGGCTAAGCCTCTTCTGATGCCCATCAACACGTTCTCTGGCATCGTCCAGTGAACCCGAAGGGGAGTCCGAGAGTGGCGGGCTTGACAGGAAGGATACACTACCCGTCCCGCCGCAAGCACCCGCCCCAGTGGCTAGAACAAGGTTCCCTGGGGTGGCTTCCAGCCACATCTAGAAGCCAGAAAGTGAGACGGAGCACGGGGCGGGTGTGGTGGAGCAGCACCCACACAAAGGCCCGAGAAGGCTGTGACCAAGCTGTGTACACAGAACCCAGCTCCTCAAGCCCGCGTCCACTCCTGCATGAATTTCCAGTTCCCGCCTCTCCCGCTATCTTCTCCCACTCAGGCTGAAACCAAGATGAGAGCTGCGGTCCGGGCCAGGGCCCAGCAGCCTGGGGAAAACAAGAAGCAGGCAGCAGCAGCCACAACCCCCGCTTCCCGCCCAGGCTGTTTCTTCAGCCTTGCAACCACTCCTAGGTGGGCGTCTCTCCCAGGTGAGAGGACATGTCAGATTCAGTAGATGCACACTAAAGTCTTTCTGCTTTTATCTAATATCCAGCAATACTTGTATTTTATTTCATTTAAATTTTTTCTTTTTGGCTACCCTGCATGACACATGGGATCTTAGTTTGCCAACCAGGAATCGAACCTGCGCCCCATGTAGTGTAAGCACAGTCTTAACCACTGGACCACAAGGGAATTCTCAATATGTGTTATTTTAACAGACAGCAGAGGCATGACTTGGTCTAACTTGATGAATCCTTTTAGCTAGGTGAGAGCCTGGTGAAACGCTCACTGGTGTGTTCTGTCCACCTGCCCAGATCCCTCCTCATTCGTGTTCACTGAGGGCCTCCTGACCAGCGCTATTGCCAAAGCAGAGGTGGGAATGCAAGTTCATTTCAGAGGAGCCAGAGATAAAAGACATCAGATTTCTTGGCTTTGAGTTCAACAGTGTATATCCAGATGTTAGGTCCATACCCATCACCCGGGCATGGTGACTCTGGGATGGAAGAGTCCCTTCCAAGTTCGGGACCCAAGAGTAGAGAAGTAGGCACTTCTCTTGTGGCCTCAGCGCCCCAGGAGTGGGGGGCAAGTCTGAGCACATTCTCAGAGCCTAAGGAGATGGTGAAAGAGGGGCCGCCTGGAGTGCTTAGGCAGATGGGCCCAAGAGTAGCCTTAAAGAGAGCCCCTGTGTCTCTGTGGGCATGGGAAGCCAGTTAGGTTTTTCCCAGGTAGCTGATTGCAGACAAGCCCCAGGGGTCTCACTGTGAAAGGGGAGAGGTGCAGCCGTGAGGTGGCAGCAGGGACCCCAGGACCTGATGCCCAGATATGGACTGTGGATATCTTGATGGACACCACGTGGCGAAGGCCCTGCTCCTCATTGGCAGTCGACCCTAAACAGCTAAGATGGAGAGGTCAGTGAATGTGTAGTCCTCCACTGAAGCTGCCCCGTGAGGAGCCCAGGGAAGAGGGGGGAACTAGGAACAGCCCTGAATGTGACTAAGGTGACTTTAAAAACTGGAAATGACTGGCATCACTGAACATCACTAGATTTTCTTCTTCTGTCATTGGGGTGATGTTAATTGATTCATACCAATTTGGGCAACAAGTACTAGATTCTTGAACTAAATGTTTGCAGGGTTTACTCAGAGTTAAGGAGGGCTCTGAGCCTTCCCCCAACAATCTCCCCACCAGCTTACAAAGAAAGCATGTGGTAGACCAAATTCTGCTGCACATTTATGTGTGCATTGGCAAGTAGCCCCCTCATTCTCACCCCCAGCCAAATTAGGTGCTCTGAACGAATCTTGCTTGAAAAGTTCACCAAACAGCTCTTGTTGAGCACTGGGCCTTCCCTGAGTGAAGGCTGCTATTCCAAAGGGTTTGGGCTGCTGGAATCTCTGGATTCGAATACCCTGTTCACCAAGGGAGGAAATGCCTCCAAAAAAAATTATAAACAATCCATGTGACATGTGAAATTTTGCCAATATCTGTCAGGATAATTAATAAATCCACTTCTGTTGATCTAAGATTGTTCACATGCTAGTATTAATGCCTCTGGAGTATGACTTTTGGATGAAATGTCAGCTAGCCACCTCTGCTGTGTGTATCCCCAAACTGGACAAAAAGCACTCTTAAGGATAATTTAATAGGCAAAACACTCTCCGACATAAATCACAGCAGGATCCTCTATGACCCACATCCCGGAATTTTATAAACAAAAGCAAAAATAAACAAATGGGACCTAATGAAACTTAAAAGCTTTTGCACAACAAAGGAAACTATAAGCAAGGTGAAAAGACAGCCCTCAGATTGGGAGAAAATAATAGCAAACGAAGCAACAGACAAAGGATTAATCTCAAAAATATACAAGCAACTCCTCCAGCTCAACTCCAGAAAAATAAATGACCCAATCAAAAAATGGGCCAAAGAACTAAACAGACATTTCTCCAAGGAAGACATACAGATGGCTAACAAACACATGAAAAGATGCTCAACATCACTCATTATCAGAGAAATGCAAATCAAAACCACAATGAGGTACCATTACACGCCAGTCAGGATGGCTGCTATCCAAAAGTCTACAAGCAATAAATGCTGGAGAGGGTGTGGAGAAAAGGGAACCCTCTTACACTGTTGGTGGGAATGCAAACTAGTACAGCCACTATGGAAAACAGTGTGGAGATTTCTTAAAAAGCTGGAAATAGAACTGCCATATGACCCAGCAATCCCACTTCTGGGCATACACACCAAGGAAACCAGATCTGAAAGAGACACGTGCACCCCAATGTTCATCGCAGCACTGTTTATAATAGCCAGGACATGGAAGCAACCTAGATGCCCATCAGCAGACGAATGGATGAGGAAGCTGTGGTACATATACACCATGGAATATTACTCAGCCATTAAAAAGAATTCATTTGAATCAGTTCTAATGAGATGGATGAAACTGGAGCCCATTATACAGAGTGAAGTAAGCCAGAAAGATAAAGACCATTACAGTATACTAACACATATATATGGAATTTAGAAAGATGGTAACGATAACCCTATATGCAAAACAGAAAAAGAGACTCAGATGTATAGAACAGACTTGTGGACTCTGGGAGAAGGCGAGGGTGGGATGTTTCAAGAGAACAGCATTGAAACATGTATATTATCTAGGGTGAAACAGATCACCAGCCCAGGTTGGGTGCATGAGACAAGTGCTCGGGCCTGGTGCACTGGGAAGACCCAGAGGGATCGGGTGGAGAGGGAGGTGGGAGGGGGGACCGGGATGGGGAATACATGTAAATCCATGGCTAATTCATTTCAATGTATGACAAAAACCACTGCAATGATGTAAAGTAATTAGCCTCCAACTAATAAAAACAAATGGAAAAAAAAAGGATAATTTAAAACCATCCAGGGACTCCCCTGGTGGTCCAGTGGTTAAGACTCTGCTTCCAGTGCAGGGGGCACAGCTGGATCCCTGGTTGGGGAACTAAGATCACACATGTGGCCCAAAATAAAAACCGATCCAGGGCATGCATAATGTTGGTGGGGTCGGGGTGTGCTGGAGGGCTGCCTGGAGGAGCTGCCACCTCAAATCCTCCCTCAGCTGTCAGTCCCTCTCAGGGGATGTCTCCACTGGAGAAAATTGTGTTGCCTAAAGTCATGCCTCTTCCAGGCGCAGCTCATATCCAATCAGACGGTTCTAGGCCCTGGGGACAAAAATAGCACTTTGATTCTGATGGGAGAGAGACAGTCAACAAGATAAACCCCTGAAATAGAAGCCAGTAGTGTGTCTGACAGGGACTCTGCTGTGGAGGAAAATAAGCAGGAAGGTGAGCGGGTGAGCCTGAGGAGGGGGCAGGATTTGTCAGTGAGGGTGACAGGGACGGTTCCTGAGGGGGAACTGAATGGTCCTTAACCAGGGGGCCAGTGAGTCAACACCTGAAGAGTATGAAAGCGGGGGCGGGGTGTCGTATCACGACTTCCATTCTCGCTCCCCAAGTTTCCGTTGCCTCTAGCAGTTCAGGGAGGCAACTCAGCCTCGCGGGCGACGTGGGGCCCTGAGGGGCGGCCTGGAGCGCGCCCCGCAGGCCCCAGCCTGCGAGCCTCCGGCACCTGCGCACGCCCCGCAGGTGTGTGCGGCGGAGGAGGCTCCGTGGGACGTGGCAGGTGCGCCCGCAGGTGCGCAGCCCCCGCCCCCGAGGTGCGGCGTCCTCCGGGCGGGGCCACTTCCGGGCCGGTGGCCGGACGTGGGGGCGGGGGCGGCCGTTGACCCGGTGACCGCGGCGCCGCCGGAGGCTGGAGGCGCCCTGCGGCTCGCTCCCCCGCCTCCCTCCGGGGGACAGGACGCGGCGGCCGCCGCCAGCCTGGGTCTGAGGGAGCCGGGCAGCCATGAGCGCCAACCCCCAGTGGGACATCAGCAGGGCGCTGAGGGTAGCCAGGCTCTTCCACCTGGTGTGTGGAGTCCGGGATGCCTGCGTGACCCCGTTCCTGACCCTCTACCTGCGGCAGCTGGGCCTGGCCGCGCCCTGGGTGGGCATCCTCATGGGAACCAAGCACCTCATTGCGGCCTCCTGGGCTCCTTTCTGTGCCTTCCTGGCCAGAAGCCACCAGAAGCGGAGGGTGCTCCTAACAGCCTCGCTGCTGGGCTCGGCGGGGGCCAGCCTGTTTATGGTCCTGGTGCCGCCCCTGGACAGAGACCCAGGGGACCGCCGGTGTAATGGAAGCCACAGCTTGACCGCCGAGGGCCCACCACCGGGGGTCGCACTAACTGTGACTGTCACCTTGGCCTCAGAGCCAACCTCCAACTCCGCAGCGGGGGCGCTCAGCCTCCCACTGGAGAGGAGTTCTGGGGTCGCTGGAACCCGTGGCTTCGGAGAAGGGCCTGGGGAAAGTGGCCAAGAACCTTTCAGTTATCCACCCAGCTCCTCCATGGGCTCCACCCAAGGAGCCAGGAACAGATCCAGAGGTCTCCATCCTGACACTCCAGGAGTCACAGGTTCTCCCCGCGAAGGTGCTTTTAAAGTGATCAGTCCACCACTCCCTCTGTTTGCTGGGGGCACAGCGCTGGCAAGGCCAGCCAACCAGTCAGCAGCCAAGGGGGATGGCAGGGACCTTGGCCTCTCCTTGGAAGGGCTGCAGTGGACTTTCATCCTCTCGCTGGGCTCTGTGGTGGTCTGGGAGCTGCAGACATCCCCTCTGGAGCAGGTGGTCGACGACAGCCTCTACGAATACTTGGATTTTGTGGACGCCACCGACCGCTACAGAAGCCTATGGGTGTGGAGGCTGCTGGGCACATCAGTCGGCGTGTGTGGCATCGCGGCCTTGGTGGGGCCGCTGGACTGCTTCCTGGCGGCCAGTGGCCCTCGAGGCGTGGTGCACTTCTATGGCTACTCCCTGGTCAGCGCCCTGGCTTTACTGGTGAGCATCGCCTTTCCCATCCCTGTCTGCCGGCAGCGGGAGCCCAGCTACAGGACAGTCAAAGCCCTGTCCCTAGTGGTCGGCGACCCCCACCTCACCGTCCTGGCCCTCACCATCTTCTTGACAGGAGGTGCCACCAG